GAAGGTAAGGTGGTGAATGAGTCGGTTCAACAACCCAATGCTCTATGCGAGCAAATGTTGGGAAAAGATATTGTAGATGGAACAGGTGCGAGGGGCCAAGGTATTTTACAAACGGATCTTAAAGAATATTATCGCTCTCTTCAGTTGAACGAAAATTCGTCTGAGGAAGCTAAAATAGTTAAAGCCATAAATTATATTATTATACTATTTGAAAGTCTGTTATTCCCCGAAAGTACATTTAATAATGTCAATTTTGTGTATCTAAGTTGCTTAGGAACTTTGATAAAATAAAAAAGTATAGTTTGGGTTCCTCCGTTTTAGCCTATCTATACAGTTCATTATGTAAAAATGCAAAAAAAAAAATGTACTTTCTATGGATGCGTTTTCTTGCTCCAAGCATGGGGTTGGTGGAAAATGGAATCCCTTAACCCTGTCAACGACATGTTGTTCATGTTCCCCTACGCAACCAAGTAAATCTATAACCCTATTTACTTTTTATGGATTTATGATAAATATTTGTACATGACTTTTATTTCTCTCTTTGTGGTAGGTTTTGTGTAAGGGGCATGGATTACAGCAAAAATCTAAGGCGAAATGTCGCTATGTATCATAATCTTTTGGATCACATCGGCCCAGATGATGTACGTATTTCCTCTAAACTTTTCTTCTTTTAATTTATTTATTTTTAAATTTATCATTATTATAATATAATTTTATCTGCATTTTCTTTGAAGACCATTTTTGGGTCTAGAACATCAACCCAACCCCGAGTATGCAGCAGTTTGGACTGTAAAAACTAAAATCATACAGTACAAGATTATGGAGATGCACCACAACGATCGTGTAAAAATGCAGTGTAGCATACATCAAGATATGTCGTCTCCCCCGACTTGTTTGGCACCTTGGCAACTCCTTATGGTTGACACTCAGTGGCGTGTTAACAATTGGAAATAATTTTCACCCGAATGGTTTAAGATGTGGAAGAGGCGTGACTGACTTGTGTTATATTTTCCTGTTTACCCTGGGAACCATCTTATGCGATGCACAAATCAATATATCAATTGGTACATATCCTTTACTAAACCTGAAATGTTTGTGGATGACCTGAGATATTTAATCGACCCACGCACATGATGAGCATCGTCCATAAATCTCCAACAAAATTACCAACAATCATACACCACCCAACAACAAACCCAACACACATCAATCTCCCACCAAACACAACGACGATACAGATCCACCAGCACCCAACCCCAAACCCAAGACCAATACCAATACACACATATGTCCTACACACAATCACAGTACTAAGAGCACCGACCATACATTCGATATCCCGATGTGGGCCGCTCATCATCTCACCTTAGCCTAGACATTGACCTACCTGAAGAATATTCCCCAACCAACCCAACTTATCATCAGCCATCACATCACTATAGCACCCAACAATCACAGTACCAAACTCCATAAGATTCATTTCCTCCCCCCCCCCCCCTTATTCAGATGACCAGTGCTATCGACCACCCATGGAACCCCACCCCTATCAATACGACCAAACTTTGAGGGCATGGGAAACCGATTGTTTGAAAGCGGATCTTCCAGAGATGTTGATTTGATAGATTTCGTGGATCTTGAACGCATTGACCTCGCATGGGACCTCGACCCAACCATAATAGGAAAATCGTCGAAACGCACCACGAGTTAGGCAAGGATGCGGGTGCAGAACCACGAGTCGTTATCGAGTCCCGAGAGACAACTAAATAATATATAACTTTTATTCTCATTATGTAATCGTTTAATTATTATTGAAAATCGAAGTTTCATTTGCGACGAAATTGTCTTTTAATTTTTTTTTAAAGTTAAAAAAAAAAAATTGGACATTACTTGTAGGCGCCATCTGAGATGGCTTAGGGCAAATCACATGCACCTAGGCGTCATCTCATTTAACGCCACTTTTAAAAAATTGAATATATGCGTCATTTGAGATAGTTGAACCATATAATTCAATTCTGAAATATGATTTTTTACATAATTTTCTCTGAAACATAATTATTTATGTTTTTTTTTAATACCTTATTATTTCAAAAATAATAAATTCTAAAAATCCTGCTTCATAACCATATATATTTAAAGATCCTGCCTCATATTGAAAACACATCTAATTATTTACCAACTGTACATACTATGGCATTAATGGTTGGTTATGTAAGATAATTAGTTTGAGGCACTTACCAAAAAAGTGAAATTTTAATAAACCGATTATTTTTCAATTAACATTTTGTATAATTTGACAATAGCTTCCACAGCTCACTTTTCAAAAGAAATTATCTCATTTACAATATCTAAATTTAAACAAACTTTATTTAAAAAAGTTAAAGATCATGATTTTATTTAGATTATACATAATAAATTGATAAAATTAGTTAATAATTTATAATTAATTATTGATAGCTAATAAATTAATTAAAATATTTAAAATTATAAATTCTATTCAATCATAAATATAAAATAATATAAAAATATTTTAATTAACAAATTAGAGGATCAGTATCTTTTATATATTATTAAATTTATTTTATTTTATAAAATTAAATATAATAATAATAAACACATGTAAATTATTTTAAATATATACATATATACCTAAAAAATAATAATAAAGTATTCAACTCATAAATATAAATTTTCAGACAACATACAAATTAAGAGTGAAAAATGACGACAACAATAGAGAATAATAAAATCGACAGAAAAAGATAATGGAAAAAAAATAGAGTTGAAACGACAAGTAAGAGAATGAAAGAAGCTGAAATAAGATATTTATAATTTTTTTTTAAATACAAAACTTAATTTTTCTATGTTTGTATTTACAAAATATTTATTTTATTTGAAACTATAATAAATTATAAAAAATAAAAAATAAATTTTAATTAAAATGATAGAGATAAAAGTGGAAACTATAAACTAAAAACTATTTTAAATAATATTTAGAAAAATTTAAAACTAATTAAAAGTTTGCGCTAAAAAAGTGTTGTCAAACAAATTTTTTTATTGAACAGACTTAAAAAGTAAGTTAGCTTATTAGTTTTGTTAGAGTATCTCTAATCTTGAATTTATTTTTAAATTTTTTTATGGAACTCATTAAGTCACGTCAGCTTGAAGCAATTCAACTAGTTTTTTACTTTAATGGTGCAACTCTAAAGAATTTATATTGGGTTCTATAATTTTACTTTATATATTAATATTTTATTTATATTAAATTTTATATTATTTAAAATAATAATTTTAATTATTTAAATTAAAATTGATATAAAATAAATAAAATTCAAATTATAATTATAATTTAAAACGATAATTAAAATTAATTTCAAATACATGACATATAATTAAAAACAATAAAAATAAATAACATCACATAAATTAATCAAACTTAAATTTCATCATCTTCATGTCTAAAACATTCTCAAATATATTCGACTAGATCTCCTTGAAGTTGACGATGAACTTGTTTTTCACGAATATTTGCTCTTCTTTGTAGTCTTGTTGCAAGATTCGGATGAGGACCGCTAAATATTTCAGTTGTTGAGTAATCAAAATTACCTCCATATATATGTTGTTTATCTTCAACAATCATGTTGTGCAATATGATGCACGCATATATGGTATGTTTGAGGGTGTCCATGTGTCACGCACGCGTTGGACCACGTATAATTGCAAATCGAGATTGAAGCACTCCAAATGCCCTCCCACGTCTTTTCTAGCTGATTCTTGATGTTGAGCAAATATTTTTTCTTCTCTCCTTGTGGCATTGAAATGGTCTTCACAAATGTAGCCCACTCAGGATATATATCATTGGCTAAATAATACCCCATATTATATGGTGTCCCATTGATTGTATATTTCACATTGGGAGCATGTCCTTCCAAAATATCGTTAAACACGTTGGATTGGTTTAGCACATTAATGTCATTGTTTGAACCTGCAATACCAAAAAAAAACATGTCAAATCTATAAGTCTTGTGATGCCACTGCTTCAAGCATGATTGTGGACTTTCCATGATCATCTCGACAAAATTATCCTTTCCATGCAACATGACAATTTTTTCATTCCCAATGCATACAATCAATGGAATCCAACATACTCGGAAAGCCACGTGACTCTCCCATTTGTAAAAGATGTTCAACATTAGTGTTGTTAGGCTTTCTCAAATATTCAGTCTCAAATACAACATTCACGCCCTGAACGAATATTTGTAAGCACTCAATTGAAGTGCTTTCACCTATTTGAACATATTCGTCTACAACGTCGGCAGGAGACCCATACGCCAACATACGAATAGCAGACGTACATTTCTGCAATGGTGAAAGACTCATTTTTCCAGTTGCATCAACCCTCATTTGGAAATATTCATCATGATTTCCTAGGGCATCTATAATTTGAAGAAATACATGTCTATGCATTATGAACCTTCTTCGAAATTGAACATTTGTGTATACTGAATTTTTCAAGTAGTCATTGAGTAATCGATTGTGCCCTTCTTCACGACTTCGATCTACCACTGTTCTTCTCTTTGGCATAGAGGAACTTCCAGATTGATGTTCATTCTCAAGTGGTTGTTCTTCATCACTGTTGTCCATAAATTCTTCTTCAACCAACTTCCAAAATTTTTGGTCAAATCATCTGAATTGTCTGAATCCATTTTAGTGACTAAAGAATGAGAGGAAAATGATAGAAGAATTAGATAAGTATAGGAGAAGAATAAGATGAGAATGAGAAAACAATGATATAAGTGGTAGTATATATAATGATTTGTATAACAACTAGTTTGAATAACGGCTAGTTTGAATAACGAATAATTTGAAGAATATAATTTAAAGTGGTACTAATGACCATTTTACATAGGTGTTGGTAATTTAAAGTGGTACTAATGACCATTTTACATAGGTGTTGATAAATTAAAGTGGTACTAATGACCATTTTACATAAGTGATACTTATTACATTCTATTTTTTTTCATCTTATTACAATATTTTTTATGAAGATCTCGTTGAGTATCATTCATAATAGAAGTGTCTTCCATGATGATATGCATTGCCTTTAATTCTAGCTCGTCCTCCTTACATTGAGCTAGTCTTTTCATTGTTGCTAATCTTTTAATCCTTGCATCTTGCGTTGCATTTGGAATTTCCTTTGTTTTACCCTTCCTTTTTGCTGCTTTTTGTCCCATTGGACGCTCCATTGGTGATGATGAGTTAAACTCATAACTTGAAGGTGTATCTGGGTTAGCCGATGATGCCCCACTAGCAGAAGCCTTTGTTATTTTTGAAGAATTTCTAATCGATTCTCTCATCCATTTAGGTTCATCTTTTAACAATCGACATGTGTACTCAAGATTGAATGTTGTACCTTCATCTTGAGCAAAAAAAGCATGTGCAACGGTCATGATATCGTTCTTCGATGTCCCACTTTTCTTTCCATTAACAGCTTGCTTGTAACACCCAACAAATTTTTGAACCGAGTCATTTATTCGATGCCAACGATATTTTAATTGTCCACCTAACTTTTCCCGCGATTGTCCACGATACTGGTTATAATTGGTAGCGATTCTTAACCAAAAACTCTCAGCTTTTTTATCAACTCCCACAACTGAATCCTTTGAAATATTGAGTCATGATTGAATAAGAAGTATATCTTCATCTCTTGTAAATTGCTCTCGAGATTTTTTTAACGACAACTGTTTCTTCTTTTTCAGTACCAACTTGAGTAGAAAATGGTGAAACTTGACATCCAGACTTAAACCCAATCGGTGTTTCCAGTTTATGAGGAAAAAATTCTATACTATTAGAATTCATTTGAGGTCTATGATACATATTTGGATTGTTTGGTGACGAAAAAAATATGGCGGAGTTTGTTGGCACCGATGGAAATTGAGAATTTTGATAATTTTGCACGTAATTGAACAAAGTTTGTTGATAATGAAAATAATTAGGATCCATTTGGTCTAAACAATTTTAATTTGAAGGGAAAAAATGAAAATTTGAGTTAAATATTTTATCAAAAAAAGACTAATGAGAAAAAATTGTAAGAAAAAATTAAAATTTGAAAAATAGAATGATGAAATTGTGAAAGAGAAATTTGAAATTTAAGAGGTGAGAGAAAAATTATGTTGATAAATTTTTTTTAAAATCTATATTTATAACAAAAAAAAAAGTAAAAAAAAAAATTTATAAAAAAAAAACTAGCCATTGAACGGCTAGTTTAAGTTTTATAATATAAAAAAAAGAAAAAGAACCGCTGCTTGCATATGATGCATTTGTCATTGTGGATTAACATTTATAAAAAGTTACTACCAACCATGCGTTGCAGCTGCTGTTATTGTTAAAGAAACTCTTAGATGATAATTACAACTGGTCATTCATTGACAAAATAGTTTAAAGGATACAAATGCAAAACAACAAATGCTGAGTGTCATGCATCTTGATTTTTGTCTAAGTATAGATTTCGTAAATGATGCTCTCTCTTTCACACACTTCACCATATATAACCAAATTTCAAAATAGACAAAGCCAACTCAAATAAAACCATTCATACTTCCCTAAACCTGAAAAGCACTCCTATAATTAATTGCTTTCTTTAACTAATTAGCAATTTAGCATACTAATACCTGCCTAATAAGACACCAAACCTACTTAAAAAGCCAATCATATAGATTTTTCTATTTTACCTTTCACATGAATCCAATCACAACCACTTCATGAGAATCCAATCAGAGATCAAACCGGTGGTGAGCATGAGGTATGTAAGGGTGTGCAACATGAATCCAATCACAAGACTTCAAATTGTCACGGTTAAATTATAATTAAATAGGGTCTCATAGTAGATTTGTCACATGTAAACCATGGCTAAATAGGAGCACTAGTTGTTATGTCAAGATTGAATAGTGATTAATCTATACTGGACCTCTAAAAAACTTAAGACGACTCTATCAGTAAATCTTCTAGATCACAGTTTAACTGGTTCATTCCGATGGCAAATAAATAACTAAATAAATTAGTAAAAAACAAATTGTGGTAAACCGGTTCAATCCGTTTAACCATACTAGAATATAACCATACTAACTGATTTTCTAGGTAACCGGTCCGGCCGAACCAGTTGGTTCATTTTGGTTTTTAAAACAATGTTTCATACTGACAAGTAGTTCCAAATAATGAGCTAGCATGTAGCTAGGAATATGATGTCACTTAAAAAGTAGTTAAAAAGGGTAGTTTAGTAGTTAGAAATCAGATTGTTTTAACTACAAGCACATGAATGCTGTGACCATAAAGTCATACACCAATCTCCCAATTTTACAAACTTTATGCCATGCATTTTAGATATACAACATAAGATGAAGAAAAAAATGCCTCAAAGTATCTGCATTTCCCCCACTAGAACAAAACCAGAAGCAGCACTTCTTGTAACAGAAGGTTTACCTCTTTCCTCAGCACCAACTACAGAAAGTATGATTAAATCCACTACCCTCCTTGACACAATCGACACAGCAAAAGAGAGTGCTGAGTTTCCTCCAGTGGAAATAGGCACCCGAGGCACGGTCGCGTCACTCATAATGCAGGAAATCGACTACTTCAGCCGGATTGAATCAAATTCCCAAGACAGGTCACAAAGGAACAACAAGTCTCAATTCACAAATATAGGTTCCTCTCACAGCACAAATTCCAGAAGCACAATTGTATCCACAGTTGAAAGTACAAAGAAAAAGCGAGTAAGTAGCAAGCTCCTACCGAGTATGTGCTCTATGGTGGATGTATCAGACGGCGGTAGGCCAAACGGAACCTCGGCTTTTGGTTACAGAAACCTGAGGTCTGACACGAAAAAGTTTCAGCTTTAGATAATGCTCTCAGAGAGCTTTGAGAAACCGAGCTTCTTGAGACGGGTCGTTAAAGGAGTAGCCCAAGTCTTTTCTGCATTCCCGCATTTTATATCCACGACTTCAACAATGTTAGGTTTCTTTTTATCATTTTTTTTCTCTCTGGTTGGAGTTCTGTCCACTGAAAAATGATCGGCAGAACCTAACATCGGTATTCTATGAGTATTCCTACTAGTACTATTACTATTAGCTTTTGTTCTATGATTTGTATTTTTACTGCTTCCACTTCCACTGCCACTGGCTTCATCTAATGATTTTCTTGGTTGTAGTCTTTTAGGGTTTGCACTTGTACTGGTACTACTACTACTACATGGAACAGAAACATGAAGTGTTCTAGGTTTAGTTCTTGAAAATACCTTCTTTTTTTGTGGTTCAGATGAGATTTGATCCAATTCTCTTGTCATTAAGGAACCGATTGTTCCAATCGTCCCTAACTTGATCGATCCTCCTTTGCTCTTCATACTTTCAAGTGTCTGAGCCATTGTTCCGATGATCTATTATCTCCAATTAATGATCAAATATTCGAGTCTTTTAGATATTCTTTGCAGATTTATTCAATTATCTGTTGCACATTAGTGTCACCCGGTTAGAATAGCAACCCTAGTTCAAAAATAAACAGATACGAAAAACGCAAACAAAGAACACATTCGATTTGATTTTACAATTTGGCCTTAGGCCTACGTCTGCTGCAAAGTACTATCTGCAATATCTATATTCGTCAACGCAAGCGACTTGCCCCCTTATTAAGTAAACTATGAGACATACCCAACACACCCAATGAATCAAATATAGAGATACTCTTTTAGAATTTGTGTATTCGATTCCTCAAAAACTTAGAATTGTTTTTTCAATATGAAATTTATAGTTGTAGATAACTTAACATGTGCCCTAAAGGCACAAGTTAGCATGAGAAAATAGTCCAAAATAGTAATCCCTAATTAGCTTCAAGAAATTTAAAGAAAACAAAAAAAAGAAACAAATTTTCTCAAGAAAGACCAAATTAGGGTTCAAAAAGGGAAAAAAAACAAAGCTTGAAATTCAATCAATGCAGGTTAACTAGCATGAATCAGAACTTAAGATTGAGCAAAAATTGACCACAAGTGTTGGTGCCAGTGTCCGACACACTTTTTTCCAGAGGTGTCGCTGCTACATAGATCAATACAACTAGCATGAATCAGAATCAAATCCAAAACACTATGCACATTAGCAGAACAATCCAGTGAAGGGTGAAAGAATCATGCTTCAACAAATTTCACCAAATTTGACAATTTAAGAAAGCATATACAAAATTACAAAAACAAAACAGTGATTATTTAGCTTGAATTGAACAATAACAACAAAAAAGGAATGAACTTTGAATTCAACAGAATTGCCCTTTACATTCGTAGAACACTAAAATGAAACACATTTAAGATCCAAACAGAAAATATAAAAAATAGATTTTGGGTATTTTCTTACTCACAACATGGTCATGGAAATTGCAGATTTGAACAGACCCAGCATAGGAACAAAAAAAAATCCCCCTATTTTCCCCCTTAAATCATGTGAATGAAATTGAAGTGAAAATGAAAGTTTGGGAAATTAGTTTTTGTGTATGTCTTGTTTTAGAGCGTGGGGATGGATCCAATTTCATTGATTTGACTTTCAATGTCATATATCATTCACTGTAGTAGGAAGATAAATAGTTTAATAATTATTCACACCTAATATTCACTATCAACTATCAAGAGAATTAATTCATAATCACCAAGATTAGAATCATTGGAATGCTACTAATAGTGCAAATTAAAGATGATCAGAGATGATTAAATTATATTAGACTTAATTACAGTTTTATCTCCTATTTTACTAATTAGGAAATTAGTTTATCTATTTTAAATTTAATAGTTTTAGTCTCTATTTATTTTCAAAATATTATTTGTATAATTAAATGTGATGCATTGAAAATAATAATATATATTTTTATTAATAGTATATTAAAATAAATTTATTTGTCTTATTAAACTAATTCAATTGGTAGCTTAACTCAATTGATAGATGTATATTTGAATGTGGGGTGGGGTTCAAATTCACATCATTATGCTTATTTATTTTTAGGAAGAGATTTTTTTTTTACTTTTTTATTCTGGTTTATAGGTGTTTACAGTGATTTCTGGTAAACAACTGCTAGTCCTCCAAACTATCAAATAATCTTAATGACTGTTATTTAATCTCTCTGGTAAATTGCAGGATCGACTAGATTGATCCTATGGGGTATTGGTCGTTTGGATAACTCTAATTGTAAAACTGATATTCATAGTTATGATTGTATTTAGAATGTTTTATAGACGTTCAATTCACTTCGATTATCATGTTAAGAGAGTCTAATGACATGATCAAGTAAAGAAAGATACGAAACTGAATTGTATGAATAAAGATTCGATTGCAAAGAGATGTTTACATGCAGAAATAAGTAAATGACTTTAAATGTAAAGACTTTAATGTAAAAAGCATGAATATAAAAGCATGAAATGTAAAAGAGTTTCTGCAATGTAAAAGGATTCGAACAGAAGAAAACGTTTAAATGCAAGAAATCAGTAAATGACTTTAAATGTAAAGGTATTTGAATGACAGTGACATGAAAATGGAAGGTAAACTGGAAAAGGTAAAGAGTTTTACTGAATTATAAATGTTTGGTGCTATCATACGTACATTGTTCGAGCATTCGTTTCCCTAGCCATGTGGTATTTTGAATGTTTACTCAATTTTGTACAATAGATATGACACACGAAATCCTAATACTAAGACTTATATTTATACTACTTCGACCATAACGGTCTTGCCTATAAGATTCTGCCACGTTCAGAACATGCAGAGCACTGCTCCTCTCTAGCTTTCACGCGTCTTCGAACGCTCCAGCGCATATATATTTGAATTCCAACATCCCGCTCGCGTTCGAATTTCAAATGCTTTGGCAATCGCTTCGAATTCATTTCACAGACACAGTCTCGACACCACTTCGATGCTTCTTTTAAATATATCTTTACAACTGTCACTCGAAGCTCCGAGCTTTGACATGTCCGTTCGAAGAACCGCTTCTACCATTCCGAACTGTAACATTTTGCTTTATTCCAACGAAACATCCATATTGCTTCATTTCGAACTGTATCATCAAAATCTTCAGCCAACAAAATGCCCCTTTAAAATATGTATTTCGATCCTTTGAGAAACACTTATTTTAAATATATTTGCAAGATTTTGATGTGACCTTTGAGTAATCATAACATTTATTGTGTATGACCCCAATCACGTCAATCACGACGCCTCTTGGATTTCTTAACCGCCTTGAATCAGTATTTCACAGCATGGTGCAGTTATAAAACAATGATTATTATTAATCACGCTTATTACCAATATCAGCCTTTACGCCACCTCCTCCTCAATCCAACCCACGACTCCCACGTATCCTAGTCTCACTTAGTGGATGTTTAAGCTCCCACACTATAAAAACTAATCAACTTAGTCTTTCATTCTTTTTCCACATTCTGGAACTTTTTCTTCCTCTCCTCTTACTAAAACCCTAAAACTTCCAACAATCTTCAATAATGTCTTCAACAACATCATCCCAACTGAAGAAAACTTCCAAGAAGAAAAGCAAGAACACAGGAACAATTATGGAAAGCAAGGTTGGTACTTATCAAGGTCAATCGGTGCTTATCCCTCAAATGATCTCCAAGGAAAAGGAAATGCTCTATGCCTCTCAGGTATTGATTCCAACTAACGCTGCTGGAAGGAGGTTTGCTCTAATAGGTCCTCTTACAGTTTTTGAAATCTTGAAAGATACTAGAAAAATCTTCCCTGTCTGTTACAACTTTAAACCCCTGTTTAATAAGATGGATATCCCTAAGATAGGCGAGTCTTCTGATTCGACAACCATAGAAACTCCAACCGTTCCCCCAAAAGATCCCTTTGTGTTAGACTACGTGAAGAGCAACTTTAAACCATTCCGATCCTGCCCTACCTCTGACATAGCTTACCAAAACTGGCTTACCAAAGTAGAAGCCAAGAAATCCCAGCAATGGGAGGAATTAGGAATCTATAATCTGATTAAGCTATCAAAACCAGGCTTCACCTATAGTCATCCATTGTTATTTGCGTCCTTATATTTCTGGGACAGCACCTACAACACCTTTCATCTCCCTGGGGGAATGATAGCACCCACATTTTTCGATATAGCAGCCATCACTGGTTTGTCACCAGTAGGAGAAACCTACATCCCTGATAATGAAGAACACTCCAGCATTATTGACTTCGAAGTCAAATTAGCCAGTTTTTCCAAATTCATTAGCCATTACCACACTGAAGGAGATAATGTGTCAGATGTGGAACATATTGCTTTTCTCACTTTATGGTTATCAAGATACGTGTTCTGTAGCAGGTCCTTACAGGTAGCAAGCAGGTTCATCCCTCTAGCTAGAGACTTACATGAGAATAGGAGGGTATGTTTAAATGAACTGTTACTTGTTGATCTTTATGAAAGCTTAAGATCAGCCGTTTCGAGTTTGAAATCCCATACTCCCAAAAATATCCTTCTAGCTGGCCCCTTCTGGTTACTCCAATTATGGCTTAATGCCATGTTTGAACCCTCATTATCAACTGCTGACACCGTTGTTGAACAAGATCCGGAGATAGCGGATAGAATTATTGAAGGTATAAGGCTGCGAAAACTCACCCCGAATGATGATAAAGATGACTTCAAGGTCCTTTTCTCAAACTACATCATGATTTTTTCCAAAAGACACAAAATTGAAGAGACCATGGCACCCTTTGCTTCAAGAACTCATGGCCCATCATGGTTCACCATGTCTCTTTTAGAAGCAGTTAAAAGCAAAGAAATTCAAGATATTTGGAAAGCCTTTTTGCTTCCTAGATTAATTTCCTCACGAATCACTCCTTCCAAGAATCAAATATTCCTCTTTGCCTATCAACCTAACTTCGTTTCCAGACAATTTGGCCTGTGCCAACTAATCCCTGAACCTCTGTTCCAAACAGAGAGTGCCATCACTTCCGGTCGAACCTTTAAAGCAAGAGAAGCCAAACTGCAACAGGAACAATATCAAGACTTCGCTCAATTTGAACTACTACCCTTTGAACCCACACACTTCACAGCGAAGGGTTTTCTGGAATGGTGGACTAAGTTCTACCAATCATATATGTTCGATACCCTCTCCATTCAACAGAAACTAACTGATGCGTTCAATATGCAGGTACACTCTGTGATACGGTGGGAGAACTGACTTGAGTTTTGCGTTTGTATTCGCACTTGTTCGATTGAGAAAGAGTCGCCACCGACTTTTTATTTTATCCTAAAGGAAAGGTTAAAAAGCACAGGAAAAACCTTTTGAGATATTTCGTGGGTTCGGGGGGTAGATTATGAAAAGGGAAGGTATTAGCACCCTTTTCATCCATGGTTATCCATGGGCTCTTAGTTACTTGGTTTTTA